TAAATAAATTGACTCTGGATGCCTAAACTATTGTATTTAGCTGGTTCAAAGTGCTTCAAAGTGTGGCAGCATGGGCAGTTCTTGGGGCACCAAGAATGGGCCATGTAACACCATGGCTCCACAAGCTGCATTGGCTGCCAGTTTGCTTTTGGGTGCAATTCAAGGTGTTGGTGATCATCTTTAAAGCCTTTCACATCATGAGTTCAGGCTACCTGAGGGACGTCTCACCCTACTGGGATTGGCTCATCCCACCAATGCTGGCAGAGGAGGCGTGCTGTGGGCCATGTCAGCCTGATTATTCCAGCTAATGGGGTCCACGAGAAGGGCCTCCTTTGTTGTTGCACCTGCCCTCTGGAACATCTTGCCCCCAATATGAGGTTGGCCCCAAGCCTCCTATCTTTTGTAAGGGCCTTAAGATGTGGTTTGGGGCCCCAATGGGGAAACAGCACAGCGGAGGTGGTTGATTAACAAAAGCTCTCACCTCCTCCCACCCTGTCCCAATCCTCCCTACTTGTAATTGGATTTTAATAGTTGATTTTAACTTATTTATGTTTTAATATATAGAGATAGACTTTTATTATTGCAAGTTGCCCAGAGTTACCTTGTGCTTAAGATGGGCAACCAATAAATTTTATATACAAACTGTATTGCTCATTTTAAAATAAGATGTGCTGTGAAGAAGAAATCTTTTCCTATATTCATCTTGTGTGGGAACCTTCTGGACTTTCTAAAGGAAAATAGCTGCCTTATATTTTTGCCCTGTTTTTCATCCTAGGATATTTTTTCACTGGAGATGGGGTCTACCGGACAAGCCAAGGATATTACCAGCTGACAGGTCGCCTGGATGACGTCATCAACATCAGTGGGCATAGGCTAGGCACTGCTGAGATAGAAGATGTTGTGGTAAGAGGCATGGGGAAGCTAGCAGTTATTACAACATGCTCGTCACCTAAGAATATACTAAGATGTAATGACCTGGGCAGCTGCTGCTATTTGAGCTGGCCCTCTAGCTGAATTGCTTGTGGCTTTCCAGACCTTTGCATGCTTTGCTGCTCCTTCCTCACCGACTTAAGATTGGTGGGAAACAACGAAATATGAAAAACAAATTTGATTGCCAGGAAAATATAAACAGATGCCTGCCTCGTTTTCCTTTTGGAAACTAAACTGTAGTTCATAACTGCTTTCTACTCACAGTATTATAATTTTCATAATCAATATTGTTATCCAGAATATACAGGGTCTTAAAAATGATAAGAATAATGAATGATACAGAAAATAATGTATTCTATCACATAATCACTTAACCTGCCTCAGGAAGAAGGCTGGTACTTCGGAGCCTTGCCTTGCTAGTCTATTCCTTTTGTTTTGACCACACCAGGCTTAGTGAACCACATGTTTCCGCCAGCCTGTCAGGATCCTTGCAGTAAATTATAGACCTGTTTATGTTCCAGAATAAACATGAGGCAGTGGCAGAGTCAGCTGTGATTGGATATCCTCATAAAATCAAAGGCGAAGGTGGGTGAGTCAGTTTGGATGCTAATAACCGCTATTTCTCTAATAGACTCTGCTTTCACTAGAATGAACATCCCACAGAATTTGTTTGCATGGTGCATATTTATTGTATGCTTGGGATAGGCTCCATTCAGAGCCTTCATGTGGTCATTTAACGATAACTGAAGTGAAGATCAAGTTCTCAAGCCTTGGCTGAGAGGAGATACGGATTTCAATTGTAGTAAAATTTATAGTAAGAAAAGGAAGAATGCTAAAGCATGAAGTTGCGTACCCTGATTCTTACCTCACAGGACAATAACAATAAATGCTCCAATAGACTTATTCTAGAATTTGTATGAGTGGGGCATTGTTTCAAAAGTTAATCAGCAACTCAAAAATAAAATTAGTAATAGCTCTTACTTCCTACCCAATATCAGCCAATATATAAGGGGATTCAACTTCTTGCAAGCTAAGGGAACTATTTAAGTGTGAAAGTCTAGATTTGATGATTGCTTATTTTACTTTTTTAAAAAAACAGGTGCCTATGCATTCATTGTGATGAAAAAAGGTTTTAAACTATCCCAAGAGAACTTGACCTCTGAACTCCAGAGTCTTGTTTCAAAAGAGATTGCAAAATATGCAGCACCAGACCATGTTCAGGTAACAACAGGCAAACTTTTCTTTTCCTAATGCACCTCTTCATTCTGCCTAACAATGAATATTTGTAGTCTGACAGAAGATAGAACTTTTTTTTTTTAAAAAAAGTTGGATCCTGCCTTTAGTATTTGTAAAAATAACTCAAGGTGACAAACATATCCAATGCACCCTCCTCCTCCTATTTTCCCCACAGCAACTCTATGAGATGGATTGGACTGAGAGAGTGTGACTGGCCCAAAGTTGCAAGAAAATTCAAAGCAGTTGGATAACCAATGCAATTTTTTTTGCAAAGACATTTTTAATAATTAAAAAAAAATGTCCAGTGTAATCTAATTCTGCTGTCATTGATCATTTGCTCAGAAAATTTTCGATTTGCTTACCAGTAGGTTTTTTTTTTTTAATTTGATTTATATGCCGCCCTTCTCCAAAGACTCAGGGCGACTTACAATGCGTTAAGCAATAGCCTTCATACTTTTGTATATTTATACAAAGTCAGCTTATTGCCCCCACAAACTGGGTCCTCATTTAACCTACCTTAGAAAGGATGGAAGGCTGAGTCAACCTTGAGCCTGGTGACATTCGAAATTACAGTAATTGCGGACAGCTAGTGTTAATCACAATGCTTTTAGACTGCTGAGCTACCAGGCCCGGTTGTATGATTGATTTGCATTCCATTGATTAGCCAAACAAACCAAACCATAATGGTTTCACTATTAAAACAAAAAATTAAGTATGAAAGTTACCTTAAGTATCAAGCTTAAGCATATAATGTTCTTTTTAAAGAAAAATCTGGTTAGCTTAATGAGTATCTAAAGCACTTCAAAAGTATTAGAGCAGGGATAGAAAACTTATAGTGTTCTGCCTATTCTAGCTTGGTTTCTACTGGTTAAATAGACTTATTAGCTATGAAAAGATTACATTACTAAAGATATTTTTGCAACAGGAATCAAATAATCTTTCAACAAATTTATTTAAATAAACATAACTTTTCTAATTTTTTATGGCATTACTTGATTGCAGGTTAAAAACCCCCACTATTACCAGGTTCATACATGCTGACCCATTCTTTGGTTGTGGCTTATGTATTGTATGAACCTAGCCAGAGTTTATGGCTCAGTGTGTGGTGTGTTTCCAGCCAATTATGGCTTAGTCAATGATCTATGATTAGGCACACTATGGTTTAGAATGTGTGAATCCAATCAGAACCACAAGGAAAACCCTTTGTGGGAATAAATCTTTTCATCAGTCTATAGAACTTTTCTGATTTTATAACCTTTAACTAAAATTTTCTCCAGATCTTAACTTTTATGCCACTTCAAGCCATCTTCTTGTGAGTGGTTGGTTCACTCTTTCCATAAACCTTCCTACTGAAGATTACTATGCCAGAGGAGGCCCTTACACAAATCCACTGTTGGCCTTCTTTTATTGGAAAGTTTACTGAGCAAGTAATCAATTTAATTGAGATACTGATTTTGTTTTTTTTGGCAACTAATTCTGAAGTGCTAAGATGCACCAAAGAAAGAGTAAAACACCTTTTTTCTGTTACCATTGTATGCTGGTAACTTGGTAAGAAATGGAATTGAGTAGCCCCTCCTACATTTGCACATGCAATGAAGAAGACATGCTCAACTACATATGTCCAGGGGAAAGAAAGTAGGTACAGAAGTGAGATTTTGTAAGATTAGCAATACATTTTTTCTCAAATTAATATTTATAATTAATATTATGGGGTGAATTTCCTGATGCTGCTCTAATCTTTCCTTTCATTTTTCTGGTTCAGGTAGCTCGACACCTGCCTAAGACTCGTTCAGGAAAAATTATGCGGCGGGTTCTGAAGAAGATTGTAGAAAACAAAGCAGATGAACTTGGAGATCTGACAACCCTGGATGATCATGACACAGTGAAAGAGATAATTGAGGGATATAAGAAACTTCTGCAGAAAGACCAGTAGCCCAAAATATCTTGGCTCTCAAGAAGCAACAATGAGAAAAATACTGGGCCAACAGCAATCTTTTTACTCTTAAAATCCCTTGCAGAAACAAAAGGGGAAGTTTATTCATTACTGACTAAAACTTATTTTAATAAATGGGAAGAATATAACTCTTAAGTAACAGCTGAAGAATATGCTGTTTAATATTTTATACCACACTCACTACTTATACAAACCACTCCTGGATGATTCACCATTTGTGCCACGGTTTATGTATTAGAAAATTAAGTCTCTATTTTTGAGCAACTAAAATGTGCTGAGAGGAAAACTTCAAACTTTAAGGGAAAATTTAAATACATTTATAGAGAATCTTTATATGATATCAAACTTTGGGGAATAAAAGAATGCTTTGTGTTTCATTAGAAGATTTTGGGGAGCTTTTCAAAGGAAAGAGGAGGATGGATAATTTAAAAGGACATAAGGCAAAATGTAAAAGATAATGTACACATGTCTTCCTGATGCCCACCTGAAGTCTTATAATGGCTTCATTCTGGATTTTATTTTAAAGCAATATAACAATTTTTTTTCAATTGTTGTTTATCAAATTTCCCTTCCTTTTAAATCCCAATAAAAAAAATAGAGCACGTTGTTTTAAAAATGGCCAAAAGAATCTAACAAATTAAAGAATATACATAACCCCACACATCCTCAGCTACCTCCTAGTAGAAATGCGTACAGGTATTCTCTTCTGTCTTGAAAAGTCACCTTTGGTCATTTTGGTAATTCATTCTGCAGGAATGAATGGAGGCATACTTTCCATACAAACATCAATCTTGATTATTTTCCATTTTTAACAGCTCTGAAGGTTGTAATTCTGCCCCTCCTTGTAAGCTAAACATGTCGTTGAAAAACACTGCCACAATTTGATAGATGGACAGAGGTATTTATTTTTCACATTTCCATTTTGCCATAAGCCAAAGATGCTTGCTGGCTTACATAGACTATAAAAACCAAGTAAAACATCTACAGTACAAAAAAAATAGTAAAAATAAACCCTCCTCATCAAATATAATAATACAAACAATAAAATAGAAGCTAAAGGTGGCAGAGCAAAATCAGGGGAAATCTCTCCAAAATAATTTCATCTTTAGTAGCTTCTGAAACATCAACAAGGAGGGGGCTAGCCTGATCTTTACCAGCAAGCTGTCCCGCAGTATTGGTGCTGCCACTGAAAAGCCAGTGTCTTCTTGCTTTAGGCCCGTGCCTCTTGAAAATGTAGGAAGAGTTGTAGTTTGTGTTTGGTCTGATTGGTCAGACCAGGACTGATTGGAGTATGTGGTCCTGCAGATATCTGGGTGCTTGCTCATCAGAAACAGCTCTTGTGGCAACAGAGAACTCTGAGTATCCACACCAACTCCAATTTACTAAGTTTCCTTTTCAGTCTTTTCACTGCCATCCAGGTCCTGGGAAAGGACATTGATGGCACCCCCTCAAAGCCTGGCTAGTAATGCGATATTGACTATCATTAGCATACAGTTAACACTGAATCCCCAATTGTCAGGTGGCTTTTCCTAGAAGCTTCATATAGACTAGGGGTGTCAAACTCGCATTGTCACGTGACAATGGGACTTTCCCCCCCTTCCCTGAACTGGGCGTGGCCATGGCCAGCGCATGACCATCCGGCCCGCGGGCTGCGAGATTGATAGCATTGATATAGGCAATGAACAGGAAAGAGAGGTGTAACCCTTGTGGCATCTCACACGTCAGAGGCCACTGACCTCTGCACCATCCCAGACTGGAATGACCATTGGGGAAGGAATAGAATGACTGAAAAAAATCCCTCCCATCCCTACCCTCTACAAAGCTCTATCTTGTACTTCACAACTTGTCCAGAGTTGCTTATTTGATTTTCTTTTTATCAAGTGGCGCTGACATTTTACAAAACTCATTGTTGTTTTGCATCAAATAAAATCTTTAAACAGTCTGACTGAAGAGTTCTAGGGGCGAGATTATTGATCCATTTGCTACAGTAGCAACTCGAAAAACAGAGGCCTAAGGGCAGATCATAGAAATTACATCGCTTCTTTCTTCCTTCAAGTCAGGCAAGGAAGCTATAGCTCCAACCTTGATATAAATTACGATCAAAGAGGCTGTGCTACATTCACTGTCCTTATGTAGATAGGCCAGCATAATTCCTGTTATGCAGAACTTTAATACCAGTCACACTTAAAAATGAGTTTCATAGATGAAACAACATTGTTCTTTCTTTCTCTTCTGGATGAAAGGTTGTATAAGGGGTACAGCAATCAAAACAATGGATTGGAAACAAATTTATAAGATAAGAAATGGTTAAAAGCTTTCCTCTCCATGGTTTTTTTAAATTGGAAATCTTCTTGGCACTTGTAATTTTGAACTTTCCAACCATACTTTCTCCATTAAAGCATGCTGATTCCAAGGCACTTTAACTTGAGACTTTAACTCCAATATTTTCTGTGATTGGTTTGGGAATAGTTCAGGATTTCTCAATTCTTGTTAGCTCCCATTTTCCTTCTCCATACAGTTTCAAAATCCAGCTATGGAACTGAAATTAAATAGTAAACACAATGAGAACTATGACTTTAAAAAATAATTTCCCCTTATCTCCCTGTACTCATCACTCTTACCTTTTCTAGACTTTTGCGATGGCCCACACTGACCAGAGTCATTCCCAGTTGGATGCAGATTCTGTACATCTCATTCTCTACATCTTCTGTCAATGCACTCGTAACTTCATCTAGCACTGCAAGTAAAAACGGGAGCCCTTCAATATGGCACTACTACAATTTACAATCTTCTTTTCCTTCCATTGCTGAGTAAACCATAGCAAATGTTGTCTAGTTCTCTAATTTTAGCATGCCCAGATCACCATTCGCATAATTGTAATGTGCTTTATGTGGGGTTGTCTTTGGAGACAACTAGAGATCTACAGCTGGTTCAAAATATGGAAGCAAAATGCTGATAGGACAACCTAAGAGAATACCATTACACAATCTATCCTAAATCACTGCATTTCCAACTGGTTGCCTTTTGGGCCCAACAGAGAATTCTAGTCATCCCTTTTAAAGTCCACCTCGTGCTACACTGAGTTATAGCAGACAATGCCCAGCTAAAGTAGTACAAACACCTAGAGAGCCTGTTGAGACACATCTCATTTTACAAGGACCACAAGGCATGAGACAGACAATAATGATGGCCTCTATCTGTGGAATGCTTTGTCCCTGGAAGTGAGAATACCCTCTCTCACCTTATGTTTAAGAAGTTAAAACTTATCGTTGGAGTCAGCATTCAGCCCCTAGTTTGTTCTAGTGCCTCTTACCTATTTAGTTTTTTACTTGTTTTATATTAGGGTTTTAACTGTATGAACTAGTTGGATTGTTCATTGCACAGAATCCTAGATGATTGGAGTGGCTTATAAATACATTAACATACATACATACAATTTAATGTAAAACATCCAACCTAAACATTCATACTGTACATTGGAGAATGGAGAATTCTCAACTTAAGATTGATAAAAATGAGGGTGAAGGTTCACTTTAGGGGATCCCCTAAACTCTGCTGAAGATGTTACCTATCCTGGTAACGAAACATCCAGAAACCAACCCACAAGCTTGAAGAATAAATCTTCACCCTCATCCTACACCCAAGCTATAGATATTCGCCACTACTGCATTGATAAAAATGCATATTGAGGTAAATAGATCACAGGCACTGGCCAATAAGTATTCTATGTAGCTATTTTCCATCTGGTACAAAAACAAGGAAGATATGCTCCAGGTATGCAACAGTGTCATCTTACAGTAGGAAGGACAGCTACTCTGTTGGCAGTACCTGCCTTCTGGAATCAGCTCCCCCAAGAGTCTTGTGTAGCTCCCGTCCTTATGATGTTCAGGAAGCTACTAAAAACCAAGTTGTTCCCTGAGATCTCAGAACAGGATGATTATAAAGCCCACTTTAGTTACATTTATTAGGGCTGTTTTGTTTGCATTTTGTTTTTATGTTCTTTTTATATGTATTGTTTTTCTTTTTATCTGCTTTATATTGTCATGGATTGGGAAGCCTTGAAATTAGGTAAGTAAATAATATTCAGTTCCAATTCTCATCAATCCTAGACAGCATGGCTTATAATTAGAGTTAATGCTATTTGAAGTACAACATTGGGAGAGGCACAGGATGCCAACTTCATTCTATAACCCTCAACAATAATGAAGTGGCATTTTAAACTACACAGTTGTCATCACGGGCCAATGTTGAAACATCTCCAAGTGTTTTTCTAGCAGCATTCCAGATTAAAGATAATGCATACTGAAATGTAAATCAGCCAAAATAGAATGTCTAGGCTTGTATCCAACAGTGTAGCTAGTTTAGTGATACCAGAACTGGGTTGTAAAAATCTGCAATGCCTATTAAATAGCACTATGAACTTTGCTGCCATCTGTGGCCATTTTGGATTTTTGCAGCCTCTAAGCTAGTTCAGCCTTTCCTAGTGTGGCATTCTCCAAGCATGTTGAGATAAAACTCTCATTATCACAGTCAACTGTGTCACTTGCTAAGGCTGAAATAATTATTTCAAATGTCTTTACTACTGCAGTTTTGGTCATGAAGCAACTTTGTTCTCTGTCCTGTTTTTGTTTTCTAATCTACTTTGCCCTTCATGCTCTGCTCTTCAATGTACTAGAGTTATCCCTGTTCCGATCCTCCTTTCCTAGATCTCTTGAAGCATCCTCTGTCCTTTGGCTTTCTGAATTTTACATTTTATCAAGGTCCAATTTCCTCAGCTCTGCCTTTCTGAAGATATTGAAACCAAAAGGTCTATAGGAAATACTAAGGAGAATAACTATTAAGCTTTCCAACTGATGGTCATATTAGCTTTTTGTAGTAAAAGCAATGAAGAGCCTTGTGATGTCTCAAAGACTGATGTTTCTATTATTGTCTAAGCTTTTGGGATCACTTCACCAGGCACATGATCTGTGAAAAAACTGCTGTTATAGGGAGAGGGACTAAGCGGTGGATTGTGATCCACAAAAACCAGTGTAATGATAATTTCTCAAGTGCCACAAACCACTTTCGCCCAATGCCTTCCCATATCCTTAAATAAGAGAATTAACCCTATTACCCTCCACTCTTCATTCCTTTTCTTACCTGCATACTGGGGTTGTAAGTAGAACAGGCGAGCAAATGACAGCCGTTGCATCTCACCTGGTGAAAGAATGTCATACCTGCATCAAAGATAAGAAGCAGAACAATCCACAATAAACACCGTTACTCTGGTCTTCCGAAACTTTCAATCTACTCACACCAAAGCAGCCTTACCAGTTCCAGTCCACAGGCTGGTCCAAACCTCCTGTTCTCATTAACAAGTCTGACTGTATTAGGCATAGAAAACAACATGTTAAAAATCACAACTTGGTCCCCCCCCACTTAACATCCAAATGCATTCTCAGGCCTGTCATCACAGAATCACCTTGGTTTGTTGGTATAAGCAAATGGCCAACTCCTATTTGCTCTCTGGCATCATGCCTTCACTGTAAGTCATGAAGGTTGTCGCTAGAATTTATTATACTGGGAAGGTTTGTTCAGTACATCATTGTGAGCCAAGGTTCAGCTTTCATACCAGTCATAAATTTAACTGCTGATGTTCTCCAAATCCAGTCAACATGCTGAAATTCATAGTTCTTCTCTTTAAGGGTTAATTATTGGCTTAAGTTTGGTGAACCTTTTCATCCACTGTCTTTGAAAAACTGGGATATGAACCAATTTATATATTTTATGTCCTAGATAACTCACCAGTCCAGCCAGCTCCAGGAACCTGAGTATCCTATCATCATCTATAGACCCTGTGGTACAAGAAATTCAGTGGCAGAAGCATGCTAATAAAAACGTGCTTTTTTCAGATCAGCATTCTGCAAACTTTGCAGTGCTGTGACCCCAAAATAAGACATGAATTTGTCTTATTGTGAAAAGACATGTGACATTCCCATAATAAAGCTAATGACTTATTGAAACTAGGGTAGAAAGGGAAAAATACACCCCACTTTTTTTTTTATAATTAACATTTAATCTATAATTGGTGATCTTCCAGATGTGGCTAAATTGCAACTCCCAGGAAACCCAGTCTGTCTGTAGCTAAGTAGACAGACATTTTTTAGTAGGAAGGTTCTGTTCCCAAGAAAGATACCTTTATTTTTGCCCCTACATCCATTGGCCACATTTTCAAGTCTTGTGCAACTGGAAGCAAAAGTAAAATGAGCACAGTCCTCAGGTATGAACCTCAGTCTGGGTAGCGTAGTCCCTCTGTCTTTTTATTTCTATTCATGTCCTTTTGAAATGTCACGTAAAGGCAGGAACCAAAAATTTGTTATCCTTTGTTCCTTTTCCCATTTCTCTTTATCCCTATGGATAAGGATCCCCCTAAGACTCATAACTACCACAAGTGGGAATATCCCACAACCAACTGGGATGGGGGGCACCTCTCAATTCTGAGAACACAAAAATCTTTGGAACTGGATACTATGAACTGGCATTATATTATTGGACTACAAATTCCATTTTTATTTCTCTTCTCTTCTGACATATCAGTTTCCAGCACTGGCTTTCCTGTAATTAAGTAACATCATACAACCTGGGAATTGTAGAATTTGCAATCCAACACATCCAGTGAATGCAAAATTGAGAAAAATCTGATTACTCCAGCATGAATTAAAGCCAAGGTATACAAGTCTGAAGCTCTCAAATGCTTGGAAGCAGCCTCTGGAGAGCTTCCAAAAGTTATTTATGAAGAAAATGATTAAATGCACAATATAAAAATAATCAAATTTATTATATTTATTTTCAATCAAATTTAAATGTAAATGCTATTTTTTTTAATTCTTGCTCCAGCTATTACTTTTTGAAATTTAGGTCCTGACATTCTATGTTTGGCCCCAGCCCAGAAAAAAATGCACTTCTCAGAATCAGAGAGATCCCAGCATTTAAGGAACAACTCAAAATAGACATGAGAGCTAGACGTTGCAGAGACAGAAGCCAAGCAAAATAACTTCCAGTCCCATAAAGTAACCTCCAGCTTTTATTAGACTTACATTAACAGGATTTTCCAAACTATCTGAAACTAGAATACAGCTGTTTATTAATCAAGCATCATTTTTATTTAGATGACCTTTCACCAAGGACTTTAGAGATTGATTTTAAACAACGCTTTCACTGATAAATCCCACTTAATTTGCTGAGAACCTAGAAGTTGTTATCTATCATCACAAAATCAGAACTGTTTGATTATTCTCATGGCTTTTATAAACATGCTGGTCCACCCTTTGGATTTATAATTGACAATGATGTCCTGCATACAACAGTGAGCTATGACAGATGGTTGGTTACCAGAAAAACTTTCACATTGCCTCATATTACCTCAGGGTGGAAGGGTTTTCAGTGGGGTCATGGCCCACATTTAGTTGCCAAATAAAATAATGCGGTTACTGACATATATTACCAGAAGCATATCAGAGATACTCAATAAAATCAGGGAGGAGGAGGAGAGGGTGAGGAACTGACTTAGGGAGAGTCAAATTGCCTCAGAGGCCATTCATTAAGACTCACAATATATTATTTTGATAAGAGGGCTCTATCATCCCCATCCTTTTTATCCAAACTTCTTTGGATAAAAATTTCTTTCCTGGATTTATGCACAACACGTACACCACACACACCAATTGAATTTATATCTCTTAAGAAGGCCTTTCATTTTACCTCTTTATCAAAGTTGTACTTTATCAACTTTGTTTTTTCTGCCCAAACTCAATTTTCTACTCTATAGCTTATTTTAGACTATATAGTTTAGACTATCCCCATCATATTTTCATGGATTGATTTGGGGCTTGTAAAAGGAGAGCGCAGTTTCAGCCACTTTTCCTGGAAGGTGAATTCTATAAATTTTTTAAAAAATATTAAATTTTTAAAAATCAAGTTAAAATGATATGTTCAGAGGACCTGATATCTACATACATAATAAATAGTAGCTCTGTGGATGATTTGGAATGAGACTGCCATCAACTCTAAGCAGTATAATCAGTGAGAAGGATTTTCAACACATAATCATTCAGAACATTTTGAAGGGCCTCAAGCTGCATATCCATGGAATAAATTTGTGCTGACTGGTTTGAACGAGATCTGACCATAATTCACATATACTGTATTTTTCGGAGTATAAGGCGCACCTTTTACCCCCTAAAAGAGGGTGAAAATTTGGGTGTGTCTTATACACCGAATGTAGCCCTCCCAAGCCTCTGAAACGGAGGTTTCAGAGCTGAAAAAAAAAAGCCTCTGAAATGGAGGTTTCAGAAGCTGAAAAAAAAGCAAGGCGCAGAGCTCACAACTAATGAACCTGTTGCGAAAGTTCACCTCTGGGAACAGCTGATTGGGGGTATTCTGGGAGGCCGATCCACCCGCCAATCAGATTTTTTCTTATTTTCCTCCCCAAAAACTAAGTTGCGTCTTATACTCCGTTTTATAGTCTGAAAAATACGGTAATCTGTTGAAAGTTTTCTTTGGCTATACAGCATAAGGCCAAACATGCATATGGAGGGACACCTCAGTGTCCTAAACATATTAAATACCTTTCAATGAACATCCTAGTTAATTATGTTTTGCAAAAGAAGTAGTAAAACTACAAAGAATTAGTCTGCCAAATGTACTGCTAGTTCATGAAATGAAGGCACATACAATTAAGAAAAGATATACACCATGGTAGTCTCCAATTCAATTCCCACTCACCAGAATCTGGATAGATTTTCTTTAGAGGGTATATAATCTAAATCAAATAAAGCAGACATAAATTCCAAATGAGACACTTCACAAACATAAAGGAGCCAAAGATAAGCAGCAATTCCCCTCCCTTAAGGCACTTTTAATAAGTAAACCAAGCAGGGTTCCTAGAACTATGTATTGCGTATAAAGTAATTCTGGAGCACGCAGGAAATCTAACCACTCTGACAATCTGATATTAACATAAACCACCTGTTCCCGCAGTGTTCCATCTGTGAAGAAAGGACGCTGAGGTATGATCACCACTCCATGGGGGCCAAAGGAAGTCAGCATGTGGACTTCTCCTGCACAAGTCCAGCAGAAAAAGTAAAAAAAAAAAAAAGCAAAGCAATGAGCCAACACTTCCAATTGTAAACATTCAAAATCATTTAATCAAAAGTTCTACCCTATTTACGGTGTGGATGTATGCGGGATCATCTGATGCATTTGCTGTTTTTTTATTAGCTGTAGGTAATGGATCTTTATTTTGTCACATTTGCCAGTGGTTCATCATGTGGCAATTTAAGAAGGAAATTTTTGATATAGGATCTCTGGATGTACAATATTTCTGCTTCAGATGACACAAAGCATTGTAAACTTCCAATGTCAACTGGAAACCTATTGGTTCATTCAGGGTTTTAACAAAATGTGTACTGTTGTGCTTTTTGTTGCTCTGTTCCGTTTTTGGTTTTAAGATGTGGAAGACCTGTGCCTTCAAGCCTGTTTAGTCTCTCCCCACCCTTTTAGGATTATTGCATTCATAATGAAAAATAAGCAAATTTTATAAATGAAATAAATCAAGGCACTCTTTCAATACACACACACAAAATAATATTAATAATCTAAAACATTTTAAGTAAAATGAAAGACCCAATAGACCAAGAGTCATCTACAGCATAGTGTGAAGACTGTAATAGCCACTACGTAGGACAGACAGGCAGAAGACTAAGTGAGTGCTTTCATAAACATCAACTGCCTTCTGAAAACACAATGAAAACTTCTTAATCTCACAAATCATGGACAGATTTAATAATAGTTTCAGCTGGGAAACTGTGAGGATCCTAGACCAAACTAAATCCAAATACACTAGGGAATTCCTGGAAGCTGTGGCAATCAGACAAATCAGCTATCACAATAGACCCATAGATATAAACCACATTTAAAACCCAATAAAAAAGTAATAAAAAAGCTAAGGATGAAATAAAAAGACTAGAATACATCTTCTCCAGCAGCTTACATTCAGATAAGCAGATAACAAGCAGAAAACAAAACCCTAATCAAAGAGCTCTCAAGGAGAAAACAACATCCCCACCAACATTGGAAGGACAAGCTACTGTATATAAACAGGGAGCAAACCCCACACCCACTAACACTGATGATATTACCTAGTTGGGTAAAGAAATGTTTGTAAGCAAACAACCAAGATCAGAGAGCACCAAGGACTCCATTGTCTTCATGACCTCGACAAGTTCTGAAAGTCTTCCTAATTCAGTGAAGTCTGCAATCCCTATAAACAACCTTCTCCAACCTGTCACCCTTAAGTTGAGGAAGGTTGGGACTAAAACTACTATCAATAGCTACGCTCTGAACATTTGTAGCCTTACACCTCTGGATGGCATCACATGCATATTTACATTTCTGAATAATCTAAATTCAACTTTTATCCCGTTAGTCAGGTTATGAAGGATCAACCTGCTGAAAGGCCTTAATGTACCAATGCATCATTTCTGTGAAGTTGGACACTCACCCTGCTTGCACTTCCACAGGCCTCCGAGAATACGCAACAAAGATGTCTTTCCTGTGCCTGTATTCCCAGTAATCAGGAGATTGTTCCCTTGTGTGACTTTCATGTTTAGGTCCTTGATAAGCAGGTTCTTGGAAGGAGCAGCAAGAGAAACATGCTCCAGAACAAAAGCGGTCTCGTTTGAAATCCTCTTCTCTTTAGAAATGCTGAAGACATCAAGCCCCCATAAAAAGAGAGGAAAGATAAGTTAAGGACAGATAATATGTGCATGGTTCATAGAAAGAGAGCACAGTCTATATATATTTTAGCACTTTAATGATATTATCTTGTGTAGCCCAAAAGAAACAAGGACAGCCCCGCTCCAAATATTTTGTTACAGAGACACTTCTCAACAGTCAGCCATTCTGAGCGTCTGCTGCTGCTGCTGCTGCTAAAATGTGCAGAGCTTTTAAAACTTCTTGGTGTCGGAATTCATAAAACTTCTCAGGTACTCATATGTTCCCCCAACCCATTGAGTGGCCTGAGAAACCTTTGGGAATTTAGAAGATCAGGGCCTGGCAGCCTATTTATAAAGGTCAAAGTATGCTATCCCATCTCTTTTTAACGCCCTATACTTCTTGTCCAAATCCTTGTCAGCACCAAGTGCTACAGCTCTCAGATTCCACTTGGCATTGGTGTGTATGTGTGTGCCTTGATTTATTTGTTATTTTAAATGTTTAAATTGCTCAATAGATCAGATTCTGTGGCTGGTTTACGATAAAACACTAAAAAAAATTACAATCTGAATAAAGATAGATACCGAATAAAAGGTCAAACAAAAACACCATATGTAGTAAATTAGGTCATTCAAAAAAGAAACCATATGAATTAAAATAAAGTGAATGGCTAGTGTGAAAAATAGAATTACCTGGTGCTGAAATGATGCCAGTATGGATAACAATCAAGTCTCTTAGAGGACGAATTCCACAAATTTCTATTCTTACAAGAATTTCTACAGTTAAAAGAAAGGGGGATAGATAAAAGATTTCCCCCTTTCCGTCACTACTAATTATCCACACCCCCCAAAAAAATTTATTTTTGACCCAGAAACATGATTGGGAGCCATCTAGCATTTTTAGGCACCTGGCATGAAGTAGGTATCTCTGGCTTCTCAAATTCATAAAAAGAATCATATTAACAGGTGAAAGAAGGCCTCAGCCTAATACTAGGTTCTTACAGTCTGACTTGGTATGCTGTAGCTTCTTACATCCCTGACTTCCTATATATCCTTAGAATTTTCCAGAATTATTTCCCTGCCAAACCATCACAGAAGGATAAACTGGAATATTCTTCCACAGATATGGCCAAGATATTTAGCTATAATTTATTTAACCCAAATAATCAAGGAGCACCATGGCATAAATACCAAATTGCCACCCCATATCCTATAGCTACGTACCTGTCAAAGTCCCATTTGTCTTGTGATTCACTATGATTTTCCTTCTTGGAAAGATTCAGCAATACTTCCTGCAACTCTCCAATTCTACAAAAGCCAGTGATTAGGGAGGGAGATGAAAGAAAAATGCTTACGTTATACGATTTCCCCAAAGCTAAGAAAATATTTGCTGAAAAGAGGAAGAGATCATATATGATTAGATATATTGGAGTGGTTAATGTTTGTAGAGTTCCAGGGTCCACCTGAAATGCTCTTCAAATATGAATGCCCTATAGCCTAAGAGAAGTGCCAGTTGAAATTAACCACTTTAGAAGTTGAAAATAAGATTCTTTACTCTGCTGTATCTACCACTTCTAATTAGATCAGGGGTCCCCAACCAGCATTGGGCTGCGCAAACAACCAAAGCCCCATCTGTGGGATGCAGGCATTACACATATCCATGCCCCCTCCAGTCCACGGAAAAACCTCTCTTCACAGAATCGGTCCCTGGTGCCCAAAAGGATGGGGGTTGCTGAATTAGACTGTCAGCATTTTCTCAAGAGGAAAAAAAAGAGGTTGCCTTGTTATTGTTTCCACTTTAAAAAGGCATCTTAAAAGAAATTCTATGACAGACCCACTTTCATGGCTTCAAAGTGAGAAGAGTGAAAACTCTGCCCTTCCTCCCCACCCTTTTAATAGCCTATGTAGCAAAATCAGATATTTAAGACACCCATTTCATCTCTTCAAACTATTAAACCCTCATTTCAAAAGGATACCTGGTTCTGTACATCTTTGAAATGAGGCCCTCATGATGTAGTCCTTGAACTAACAAAAATCATGGAACAAACAGCGATGGCTCCCTTTGGCCTTTAGAGCTTGAGATATCCAGAAGCTTCCATGCTATCTGAGTGCTTCCCAAACCCAGAGAATAACATACCTGTGCGTGTAGCCAGCTACGTCAGACACTGTGGTAGAGAGATCAATTAAGACGCTGAAACAGTGAATCAGGTAAATGGAGACAAAGGCATTCTGCAAAGCAAAATCACATGAAAACAGAGTTAGGCCAAGATGGGGAAACAGTCCACAAGAGAAAGGCAGCTCTAACTACATTATCCTGATGCTAAGAAATTGTTCCTTGATAATTTCCGACTCTCCTGCTCCTGACATAATTTGTTATACATCTCACAGAGAAAAATAGAAACACATTTTGCCATATATGGGTTGCCTTGAAAATCTTAAAAGTCTCTTTCCTCTTCCAAAAATGTTTTTAGTACATAGTAAAGAATATAAGCCCAATTATTTTTAGATTGATTTGCATCAAGCAGGAATTTAGTCCTGGCAACTTGCCTTGAAAGAGTGATTTCAGTGATCCCTCCTTTTTCAAAAGAGGGTGCTCATCCCATGACAGATGAAGCAATAAATATGCCAAGTTGAATGCTGTTATGACAAGCCAGTTAGATCCTAACAGTCAGCAGTATGTAGAAACAACAAGTATCCTATGGCAGAAAAGACTGGGGGCTCTTATTTAGTACATTCTAGGCTTCTCCTTGGTTAATAAGCAATAACATCCCTAACAGAGGATTCCTGGATTCTTCCATCTAATACTTATTTTCATTTCTGTAAAACATTTTAAAATTCATGAAACATTGTGGACTGAAATATGTAGAATAGCCTCAGAGAAGCTAGGGTTTGATTAGCATTTCTCATTTGTTTTTATGAAGTTGGAAACAGAGTATTTTGAAAATATTGTGACTTTCAAAGAGAGTAACAGCAGCATTAAGGAAAAATAATTATGGGATGTTTGTGCAGAACCTGACATAAATTGCAAAGTTCAGCAACCTGGGTATCTCAACTTTTCACATCCTGCTAAACGTAGATGAAGTCCCTAGCCTTCATGCGGGAGACAGAGTCAAAATATATGAGCATAAGGTAGTGAAATCACAGAGGAGATATTGAATAATTAATAGCATCAACAATTTCAGTTGTTGAACTTATTTATATGCTGCTTATGTGCCATCAAATTGATGTCAACTCTTAGCAACCACATAGACTTTCTTCAGGATGATCTGTCCCCGACCAAGTCCTTCAGGTCTTCCAATGGTGCACCCATTGATGCTGCAATCAATTTCATCCACCTGCCAGTTGTCCTCTTCTTTCTTCCACTTTCTTAACATTATGAACTTCTCAAAGAAGCTGGGTCTTTGCATTAGGTCCAAAATAAGATAGTGAATTGTTTTCTTTTTCTTGGGTAAACTGGATTTCTTGAAGATATTATTGATGGTCCTATGAGTGTTCTCTAATTGGACCTTTTTTAATTATGGTGAACACCTCCCCACCAGCAATCAGCACCCAGACGAGCAGAGATTAATTTCAAGATTAACATCAGATCAACAATCAAGTAAACAGTACCCCAATCAAGAAACTGGCAAACAAGCCAACAGTAAACAGCCCAACCAAAGAACTTCTAAGACCACCCCAGGGCAAGACATAGAATATAAACTGAGAGCAAGCCTTTAATTAACACAAAAGCAGGATCTTTCACCCCAGAAAATTTGCAAAAACTCACCTTGCTAACTAAGGAGCTCAATTCTGTGGGATTCAGATCATCATATACTCCATTAAATATAGGAATGGCAATCATCACGTAGCTCAGGATGCTGCCCAAATAGTCAAAGGTGTTGATCCCAACTGAACAAAAAAACATATCAGCATGATATAGTCAGTATAAGGGACCTTTTGAACAGGTAATAGGATCCAGGTCTTGCCGTACTGGGCTCAAGTGCAGAACAATACAATTTTTTTTCACATGAGCACAAAGTTTATTGTAGAGACACTTATCACCTGCACTTTAGCTGAAATTAGATTGAAAATGATCTTTATATTTGCAAAGTAGGGTATGTTTCTATATCAACAAGATTGCTTTAGCAGTGTGGGCCAAAGCAAATATTTTTGGTTCAATGTCGTTCTTACAATGTATGTCTCCAGTCCTTACCGTGCTTTTTAAAATAGCATGTTATATGTTGCACAAATCAGGCAGTTATTCAAGAAACAAAATGACTCAGGGAGGTACAGTAGATTCTGATTTTTAGGGACATACATATCAACAGTACAGATATATCTGTCCATTATTCTGAATAGCAAAACACAGGGAATGTCCTTTGAATAGAGACAGAAAATCCTATAAAATCCAAGTGCTGATTACTTTGTTCAAAAACATTAAAGCTGTATCCTGCTTTAACATGTACCCTAAAGTCTGTCACCTTTCAAGTACAGAAACCAAATATTTCCACTTGCATCTGGACAGCCATGGAATTCATCTTCTGATTCAGAGTTAGCTGATGCTTGACTACTTTGTTATTGTTGTTAGTTACAAAGTAATGTCCAACCCATTGCGACCCCATGGACAATGTTCCTCCAGGTCTTCCTGTCCTCTACCATCCTCTGGAGTCCATTTAAGCTCACACCTGTTTGACATATTTTGTCCTCAAAATATTTTCTGCATGCAAGATTTAAAATTTCTCCCTAGTGAAGCTACTTTAATCAATGTAAAAGTTAAGGCGATAAAATGCTTCTCCTTACTGTATAGCCATAGTTCCTTTCCCATCAGTTCTCTTTGCGTCTTTAAAAGATTTTGAAGCTTGTAGTTGGTTCGCATGTGTTCAACTTCTCCAGCTCTGCAAAACAACAAAATAAAAAGGACATGATCGGTCAGGTATAGTGGTCCTTTCTGCAAACTCATTTTTGTCGGCCAGGAAATCAAATGTATCATTAGAAAAAACACAGGGCAACTCTTCATATATTTTCATGAACTGAGTTCATAAAACCTGTTAAGTCTGCGGTTTAGCAATTTTAACATATGTGGACTTAGAATTCCCCAGCATGCAGGCAATGCCATAATTAAAACATGGAAAAAGGAGCCCTATTTACTGCTGTAATTCAGCTTCCATCATCCCCAGGGAGCATTTATACTCAAACCACATTGAAATACTGCCACTAGTGACCTCATGTGGCAAAAAGCAGAAAGCCAGATGGACCATGTCTGTTCCTATTTTTATCTGCGGCCCTTTTTCTCATCCTTCCACCAAAATGTCCCTCTAGTCTAGTGTAATTTTACATATACTTCTTATGCAGAAGCACTTTTTGCTTTCAAAATTTCTACCTCCCATATGAGTAACTGAGTAACTGAAAAAAATAGTATTGAACACAGACAGGAAAAAAACCTTGATTCTCCATTGGGTCCTGATCTCTCTTACTTCTGAATTAATTTCCTGTGATGAGACATATAATATTTGTTTTTGCGCTTTGAGGAAAAAATTCAAAATAAATGAATTTTCAGCCTCTATGCACAAGCTACAAAAAGTACACAAGCGAGCGTCATTCATAAAGTCTCAGCATGATTAGCTTACCACAGATCTTTCGTCACTGAGTTTTGAAAGGATAACAGTGGGACTGAATATATTTATGAAACTGCCCATAATTAGAAATCCTAATAAGCTCATGACAGAGAGCTGATGACTACCAAATGGATGAAAAGGAAGTTCCATAGTTTTTGTTAAAAATTATTTGAAAGTTATTGATTGACATATAACCTGGTCACTCATGGTTGGATGAAATTGATCTGATCCTCAAAAAGAAAGAGATGACACATTTAAGAAGTAGAAGTAGAATTCATATATGGTAGAAGCAAGGACAGAAATATATAAAAAGATATGTAGTTGGTATAAACTAATTTTAGGTGTATTTTTCCTTTCCTTATCACGTCACTTTAATTACCTTGGTTTACTATTTTTTATCCTCTTCCTGCATTTAGTACAATACTGCTCACCCCAAAAAGAATACAGTGATGGTTATCTATGTATGCATGTATAATTTAAGAAAAGGGAGCTTAAATTTGAAAAAAGAGGAGAAAATCATTCAACAGCATGAAGAGGTATGAGGAAAATAATTTGGGGGAAAATGACAACTATATGAAATTCCATTTACTGTATGTTTATCCATAAAATGGAATATACAATTTTCTTGCTTTTGAAGACTGAAAGGAGATACTAAAAAAAGGGAAAGATATTTTACCTGTAGAAAGCAACAGATTCAGCATTCACCCGCAGCTGCATATGCTTAAACCTGTTAGAAAGAAGGAAAACATTTTTTTCCCGTGTGTGACAATTTCTTAGCTGAAATAATCAAAATTTAAGAAACGCCTACTTCATCATTATCCTACAACATAATGTTACAGATCCTGTCAGAAGGACAGGAATAGGTACAAGGATTGTGCAGCATCTTAGCAAGAGGCATGAAAACATTAATAACATCTTTGACCTGTCTCTTCTGTATCTTAGCCACTTGATTTGATACCACAACTAAGTTGATGTACTAATATCTCTGCAAATAACACCACAAATCATTTTAGATGTGAACCAATTAATAAGATCTGCTCAATATATTTACCTGAAATCACCTTCAAGCTTTTCCTGTTGCACCAGTTTTGAAATAATGGGACTCATTAGGAACTTGTTAACAATTGTCCCAATGATAAAATAGCCAAAGATGCTTAGAGGACCCAGCCAACCAGTGCTAAAAGAGAGAAATTCAGAGAAGTTAGCAAATCTAGTGGCAGGAGGGTTATTTTTATAAATGGGCAGTTGTTACACTAACCATATACCATCTTCTGTTAATGATTACTTGTTCAATGACTGTTCAAACTTGTAAGAGTCCTGGACAAGTGGTAGTTACAGACGGTCCTCAAAGATTTGGCCATCATAGTATCCCGTGGGCTCATGATCATGATCCTAGTGCTTGGTAATCAGTTCAGATTTCCAATCATCACAGTGTCTTGTGGTCATGTAATTGCAATTTGCAACATTCCCTGCCAGTTTCCTCAACAAAGTCCATGGGAAAGAATGCAGGAAGTTGGAAGTTGCAATCACATGAAGTCCTCCTTTACTGAGTTTAGTGATTTGCTTAATGATAAACAGGGACTACCAGAACTGCTGTTGCTACACAGTGCAATCATGTGACATCAAAATTTATGACTGCATAATAAATTTATGTCTGCATTGGAAAATCCGGCCCCAATTATCCTTGTTAAGTGAGGATTACATTTAATCAAAGAGCATTACAAATACTGTATGGTAGGGTAGTGACTGTCCAAATAAACAGTCATTGAACAGCTACCATGGTCATTGAAGAGAAACTAGGTCTTCAGCAACAACAGTCTCCCTAACATCAATATATAGCATAGCAAATGCTGCCCACCCCCCGCTACCCATTTTAAACTAGGAGAATTCCTCATGAATTCAATATATTATGACATGGAATCTGTGGCCAGACAATCTGAAGCATAATTAATTACCTGCTACACTCCCTGCCTTATGACTTAATTGAGGTTTGCTAGTGGTAATTCTCTTTTCAAAAGTGGTAGAAGATGGATCTTGAGCTGGCAATATTAAATAGATTAAATGCCATTAAGTGACGTTGAAATATTACGCTATGGAGTTCTACCAAACTGAGACTCTCCAAATATACAATTGTATCATTTTGAAAACTTTCTAGTCTTTTTTCACCCCTTTTGCTCAAAAGAAGCAAATGGTGGTCAAAATATTTTTGTACCCGATGCTGAAAATTCATTAAAGCTATTTCCCTCCATGGCATTAAAAATACAGTAAGATTAAATAAAATAGCATTTTACTGACTTTTCAGAGCATCCTATAAATCTACTGTGTGAAGAACCCTAATGTCACCTGAACCTGTGAGATGCTTACCCAAATTCATCTCTTTCAACTGTATGAGGAAACATTGCAACCCTTGAGCACTACTGCAATGTGGTTTCCGTTATCCAAGATGGGTGGCTATCTGGGATAAGTGGATGTTGACAAATGCTCTTTGCAAAGCATCTGTATAATTGCCAATTAATTTTTTTGATGCTCACTTTGTCCCTAAACTAGAAGCACCAAGTGAGAGCTTCCATTCCATTCCATTCTACTCTTTCTCACTCTTTTCTAATCCTGCCATTTGTTGTTCATTGAGTTGTAAACATATCCTATCTGAAGACATGCTGTAGGCAAAAATAGCATTTTGAAAAATTGTTGGATGTAGGCATAGAGAATTAGGAAGAATATCATAAACACATCAGTCTTGGAAACCATGTAAGTCTTTTAAATTGACAAGACACATACCGTACTTGCTCTTTCCAGTCCTTTCCCTTTCCTCACACACCATCTTTGTTTCCCATGTATAAAAGCCAAACTGTCTACACTGTTATTAAATCTATCCTTCCCACATAATTTATACTTACTTACTTACTTACTTACTTACTTACTTACTTACTTATTTATTTTTATATGCCGCCCTTCTCCGGAGACTCAGGGCGGCTTACAATGCGTTAAGCAATAGCCTTCATACTTTTGTATATTTTATAAAAAGTCAGCTTATTGCCCCCACAAACTGGGTCCTCATTTTACCCACCTTAGAAAGGATGGAAGGCTGAGTCGACCTTGAGCCTGGTGAGAATTGAACTCTCAGTAATTGCAGGCAGCTGGATGTTAAATGCTGCCTTTGTAGGAGGCATTAGCCTCCTACGCCACTCAGGCTCCTTGTACCTTATACTTGTACCTTGTACCTTAAACTCTGTATCTACAAGACCAACTTTTCCAGTAGAGTTTTGATAGTCTCCACGTCTATCTTGTAGTGTAGCCATCTTCTATGATTTCCTTTCTCTTGTAACCCTAATGTCTGCAAGATAGAGTTGGAGACTATCAAAACTCTACTGGAAAAGGTTGGTCTGGTAGATAAGGAGTTAAAGGTAAGAGCCGTGGTGGTGCAGTAGTTAGAATGTAGTATTGCAGGCTAATTCTGTCAACTGCCAGCAGCTCGATCCTGATGGGCTCAAGGTTCACTCAGCCTTCCATCCTTTCAAGGTTGGTAAAGTGAGGAGCCAGATTGTTGGGGGGCAATATACTGACTTTGTAAACAGTTTAGAGAGGGCTGTAAAACACTGTGAAGCAGTATATAAGTCTAAGTGCTATTGTTATTTTTTCCTGAGATACCAGCGTTTCCCATACTGGGTACTGTCCAGTTATGTGACCAACAATTTCCAATCAGCACAGTCCCTTTATCAGAGTTTAAATCCCCTCATTTCAAGGACATGCAAGCTGGGAGGGATTATTTAATTTTAGAGCATTTTCATCCCCTCCATGCTACTATCACTGGATGAGTGGACAATATTATAGCCTATTTGAACATGACCAGTTTGATTTTGCAAGCCATTCCCAACACACTGTAATCCTATCCTTGCTTTTCTCTGCTTTGTCCTGACCAAATGAAAATTGCAATGGCTTTTAGATACAATATATAACTGTTGAATGACTGTGAACTGTGTGCTGGTGTGCAGGGCCCATATATCTGTAATGAACCAGAGGAGAAACACACTTGAATCAAGGAGGGAAAAGGGAAGAAAAGATAGTTTCCTGAGGTTGCAGGACAGGCACAAGATTGTGAGTGAACTTGTTTGTTTGCTTTGCTGCTTGCAATGAGCCAATTCTGGACTGCTGTTAGTATCATACAACTATCGGGGAGATGGGGAGTCCAGTAGCTAGTGCAGGGGAGAATCCCTATGTCATAGGACTCACTGCAAGCAGGCTCTTCATTATAGGAAACATTTTCCTACCTGTAAAAACATTGATAGGTGTAATAAGCAAGGGTGAAGGGTGAGATGATCAGCTTACTGGCCATGGAGCTCAGCTGTTTGCAGAACCTCTCCACATCTTGACTGATTCTCTGGTCTCTAAACAATTGTGCAATAAAGAGAGATGTTACCTTGACATATACCACTTTGACATGAAAAACAGCAAAGGAGAAAAGTTAATGTGTTATGAACAAAATGATTCATTCACTATTCCAAGTGAATAGTGAATAAATATTTGCACCAGGCAAACCACTACAGGTAGTCCTCGATTTACAACTATTGGATTAGTGACCATTCAAAGTTAAAATGGCACTGAAAAAAGTGACTTATGATCAGTTTTCACATATATGACCACTGCAGCATCCCATGGTTAGGTGATCAAAATTGGGGCACTTGGCAAGCGGCATGTATTTATGAAAACTGCAGTGTCCCGGGATCATCTGATCAACATTTGTAACCTTTCTAGCCAGCTTCTGACAAGTAAAGTTAATGGGGGAAGTCAGAGTCTCTTAACGCCCGCATGATTCATTTAACAGCTGCAGTGGTTCGCGTAACAAAAAAGGGTGATAAAATGGGACAAAATTCATTTAATAACTACCTTGATTTAGCAATGGAAATTTGGGGCTCAATTATGGTCGTAAATCGAGGACTATCTTACTGGGTGTCTGTTAAAAGCTGGAATAATGTCAACTGCCCCGTCATAGGTGTTTATGTGGTAGGATCAAATATTGCAAAAAAAAACAAAACAGATTTTTTCCTGATTTGGTTTGTTCTGTAAGAATTCAGCCATCGTAGTTTGCAATCTTTGGTTTTTGGCTTATTATGCTGTGAAAACCCAGCCACTAAACCTTATTCTACAAACCATGGCTTTGGATAGCTGGAAACAGTGACTTGGTGGGTCATAATTATCTCATGGCAAGAGCACCACTTTATCAAATGATACCTTTTAGGAAATTCTCTTTTCTCTTTCCTCAGATATTGCAGAGTCTTCCAATAAATTATTTTCATAGATTCATGAACAGAATTTGGGGCAAAAAGCAATCTTCCCAGGCAGAAGCCAGTTATAAAGGAAATATGTTTTTGTCCTTATTTCTATTGTTTTAGTGTTTATACTTTTAACTTCTCATCAGCTGCTCAGATAACATGCATCAAAAATGAAATGAGGAAGCTCCAATTCATGTGTACTGGAAAAAGTTTTGAATACACAAAAAAATAGATAAAAACATTTGAGAAGACAAAACAAATATGTTCTAAAATCTAGCCAGTTTATTGCAGTCAGCATTATTTTTCAGGAAGTGAAACAAAGATCTGGGTTTTCATAGTTTCATGTGTGCTGTTTTAGAAATGCATCCACAGCAAAATTAGATTTGGAAAGGTAAATTGGTAATGGATTTTCACAACAAATCTTCTTACATAGTTGCAGTTATAAATATCATAATTTTTTAAAAACATCAATTAACTAAAGGAACATTTATACGAATGGTACAAGTATAATTAACAAAATTATGTTATTCTCTTAAGACTTTTCAACAGCCTCCCATTTTTTACTATTATAAAATATTTTTTATTCTTATTTTATAACAAAAAACAATGTTTTAAACTATTTTTTTTTTTTTTGCTGAAACCTGAGCTATATTTTCTTCTCCTGAAAACTAATATTCCCTTAATTAAGATAAATTTAATTGATTTGATGAAACTGGTTTAGCTATCTCACATAAAACCCTGGTATAGTTGTAGTATCTATCCCCTTTGCGACCTTACCATTAATGATGTTTTAGATGTCGTTCACAAAATTACCTCACTACATGGTTAGTTGTTCTTTGCTATCCAATTCCAACAATAGTCTTGTTGGACAAACTCTTGTTCGCAAAGTATGCGTTCAGCTAGATTTATGCCCACTTATCTGTGATGAAACATACTTCTGAGTAGACATGTCTTAGATCAGGGGTGTCAAACTTGCGCTGTCACATCATCATGTGACGTATCGTGACTTTACCCCCTTCACTAAACTGGGAGTGGGCATTGCCCCCTGGCAACGTGACACATCCGCCCTGCGGACCGTGAATTTGACACTTCTGCCTTAGATTAAAATAATAACATCAAAAGTTTCTCTTTTAAGTTATATATCAATATTAATTATTAATTCTCTTAATTTCTGGGTCCAGTTCAAAGTGGTAATGATCACTTATGTTCCTATACCATTCCCTGTGGCCCTGCTTTCCAAACTGACTCCACTTGGCTGGTCTTTTCATCCTGAGGGGTCCTTCCCTACCTTTCCCTGGTAGGGCTCATGGGACTGGATGTACTATGATTTCCTTCCAGGTTCAGGCAGTTCCTTCCCTTCTTCTATTCTAGAAGATCATTAAGAACTTCCTATTCCATCAGGTTTTGAATTGATTGGTTATGGGTGTTTATCTGTATATATGTTTTTATATTTTGTGACCTGTAAGCCTGTAAAATGTTTTTGTTATATTATTTTTTTCTCAGGTTTTTCTTTGTTGTACACTACACAGAACAAAGTGAAGGAACATTAATAAATAAGTTAAATAAATAAATGTCAGAGACCAAACCCATTCTGTAATCTCGCTTAATGACCATAACAATTAACAACCACAGTTAATTTGAATTTTGGCCATAAATTGAGAAATATCTGTATTTATCAAGGAGTGTGGGGAGGTTACTTGGAGAGGCAGTCTTGGAAATAAAAGATTACGCTGGTAAGTGTTACATAGAATATAAAGAATGTACAATGTTCCAGCTTTCCATTTTTTTTAAATTAAAAGAAAATTTAAAAATGAAAAAGGGACATCTGCAGAGACCCTGCTGATAATGGGTGTACTGGTATTGGTACTTCTGGGCATTAGGTTGGAGACTATACCCACACAATTTCTCTCCAAGGGTATATTCTCTTTAGCTGGTGAACTGGATATACTCCACAAAATCGTAATGCATAAATTAATATGTGTTAATATTTAAGATGCATAAGACTTTTTATTTTATTTAGTCATATATTTTTAAAATCAGAAACCTAGTTTAACACAAAATGCTTTAATTCTGAATGCAACTACCTCAGTGTTATTATAATTATATAGCAGCTCAAACATTCTATCAAGGAAGCATGTAGAAATGACTGTCTGAAGCCCAACTTCTAAAATGTGCAATCCCAAAATATGTCTCCTATTAATAAAGATTTCCATTTGAGCAAAATATCAAATGGTGCATTTTATATTGAAATATACCTTAGTACTAGTATACAATAACTCCTAGTGGATGATAGAATAAAAATTAAATGAGCTCCCTCTGACTATGAAGTGTCCATGAACACTGAGATGAGAAAAAAAAATGCACATATAAACCAGACCTGGAATAAAGTCTAGATGCACAAATATCTACAACAATAGCTAGAGGGTAGAGCCGAGGATTTTGTTCAGAATCTGTATGACAAAATCACTCAGATTCGGGAAGATTTGGACTCCGACTGGGTAGTCTCAGGGGGAGAGACAGGGGCAGGTCTTGAGAATGTTATCTGGGATGAGTTTGAGCCTGTGACCCCTGAGGACGTGGACAGGATTCTGGGCAGACTGAACGCGACCACTTGTTTATTGGACCCGTGTCCCTCCTGGTTAGTGCTGGCTTCCCGGGAAATGACACGAGGCTGGCTCCAGGGGATTATAAATGCTTCGCTGGGTGAGGGTGACTTTCCTGCCGCCTTGAAAGAGGCGGTGGTGAGGCCTTTCCTCAAGAAGCCTTCCCTGGACCCGGCAATGTTGGTAAATTATCTTCCGGTCTCCAACCTTCGCTTCGTTGTGAAGGTTGTTGAGAGTGTGGTCGCGCAACAGCTCCCCCAGCACCTGGATGAAACGACGTATCTAGATCCGTTCCAGTCGGGCTTCAGGCCTGGGTACAGCACGGAAACAGCATTGGTCGCGTTGGTAGATGATCTCTGGAGGGCTCGGAACAGGGGATGCTCCTCTGTCCTGGTCCTGTTAGATCTCTCAGCGGCTTTTGATACCATCAACCATGGTATCATGCTGCACCGGCTGGAAGAGTTAGGGGTGGGAGGCACTGTGTTGCGGAGGTTCTCCTCCTTTCTCTCTGACCGGTCGCAGTCTGTGTTGACAGGGGGGCAGAGGTCAACCCCGAGGCCCCTCATATGTGGGGTGCTGCAAGGGTCGGTCCTCTCGCCCCTCCTGTTCAACATTTATGTGAAGCCGCTGGGCGAGATCATCCGTGGTTTTGGGGTGAAGTACCACCAGTAAGCTGACGACACCCAGCTGTACATCTCCACCCCAGACCACCCCAACGATGCTCTTGAAGTGATGTCCCGGTGCCTGGAGGCCGTGCGGATCTGGATGGGGAGGAATAGGCTCAGGCTCAACCCATCCAAGACCGAGTGGCTGTGGTTTCCGACGTCCCGATATAGTCAGTTGGTGCCATCACTGACTATTGGGGGCGAATCATTGGCCCCCATGGAGAGGGCACGCAACTTGGGTGTCCTCCTGGATTCACGGCTGTCTTTAGAAGAGCACTTGACGGCCGTGACCGGGAGGATTTTTCATCAGATTCGCCTGATTCGCCAGTTGCGTCCCTTTCTGGATCGGGACTCGTTACACACGGTCACTCATGCCCTTGTCACCTCCCGTCTGGACTATTGCAATGCTCTCTACATGGGGCTCCCCTTGAGGAGCACCCGGAGGCTCTAAGTATTTTATACATTCAATTTTTAAATTGGTTTTAAATAGTTCGGGGTTTTAAATTTGTCGGAGCCAAAATTATTTAATTTGATTTTATTCTACTTTTAAATTTTGTATGGATGTGTTTTATTGTTTGGCTGTGCACCGCCCTGAGTCCTTCGGGAGTAGGGCGTTTTAGAAATCGAATAAAATAAATAAATAAATAAATAAATAGAACAGTACTGAAAATGATTAGCCACTTACGGATTATCAATTTCCTCATGTAGAACATTCAGAGTATAATACTCCTGGCCCTGAAAGTAGTAGCCATGGAGGTATTCAGTGAGGGTCTTTCTCCAGCTGACATACATCAGATTGCAGATAAACTGGTCTAAACTCTTCAGCTGAGAGGGAGGGAGGGAGGGAGGGAGAGAGAGAGAGAGAGAGAGAGCACTGAAGATCAAACATGAGGAGATACAACATTTAAAAGGAACATTTTGGATGTTTGGTGAGCAAATAGCTACATTTTCTGAAGCAGACTGTAAAGATTATTTTTATTATTTCTGATCTAGTGGATTGTTGGAAAGAAATTATGTAAAGGAGTTGGGACTCGATCTGTCTGTTTATTAGCATACCTTAAAAAACTGAACAGACAGGACCAAATTTGGGATACAGAGAAGTAGTGGGTTTCAATTTTGGTTGCTACCAGTTTGCTCGCTGGCACGGGCGCTCTCACACACATGTGTGATGCTTCTGCGCATGCGCAGAGACATCCAGGCAGGTGGGCAGAGCCTCCCGTCGACGCCGCTACTGGTTCGCCCAATCCGGGGCGAACCAGTAGCAACCTACCAGTGATACAGAAAGAAACCAGTAAAAGAAAAATCAGGTTTTAAAAAGTGCACATATAAAGCTAGGGAGAAAAGCTATGCAGAAAAATCTCCCACTGGATATCTGTGGAGAGCAGGAGGTGGACACAGCTCTTCCTAAGCCCCAGAAATCATATAACAGACAGCAGAGCATATAAAAACTTTCTGCTGCATGCATAGACACACATGTAAGCCCTGGCTAGTAAAAGTGCAGGAAAAATATTAGAAGCTATGCGATGTATAGTTTACTTCACTTGTTTTAGAAACCAGTTACAGCTTTAAGCAACTCCAGCCTTAGTAACTTTTCTGACTAATATAAAACAAAATACAAATGTACACTTTGGGACCTTACATTTCTTTCCAAAAGTTGTGGGAAAAGTCTTCGAATCTTGAGTTAGGCTAAAATGGATGTGAACATTGTTGTTTATACATCTTTTTATCTTGGACAAAGGACTAATAGCATAAGGAATATTCTTTAATTCCTTAATGCATAGGCAACTGGTTCTTGTCATGTCAGATTTAATCCGATGCATATTACAGAACAAATGCAGCCAAGAAACTTTCTTGTATATTTCAGTCTAATTTATATAAGGAGATACAGTTTGTTCATTATAGTTTGTGGTCTAAATTTAGTAGATATTAATATGGAGAAATGATTTGTTTGTAATGACCTTTCATCTATCAACATATTGAAATAATCAACTGTGTTATGCTGTTTGAGATTTAGGATGAATACTTGTAGAATTTGGAGAGTAAGCCTATATGAGAGGGACAATGCAAAAGACCACCTACCTGAGCTGCAAAAAACTGGACAGTAAGGATACAGATCGCCTGTATTTCTCTGCTGCCCTCTAGTGCAAGGGTCTCCAACCTTGGCAACTTTAAGACTTGTGGACTTCAACTCTCAGAGTTCCTCAGCCAGCTTTGCTGGCTGAGGAATTCTGGGAGTTGAAGTCCACAAGTCTTTCAGTTGCCAAGGTTGGAGACCCCTGTTCTAGTGATCATCTGGCTTTCTGTAGCCTATACATATTAGGCCTCATGTGTGTTCTAGTTCGGGGTTTTTTTTAAACTAAATTTTATTATTTTATAAATGAAATTAACAGACTCTCCACCCATAGCAACGTTAATAAAAAGTAGTAAACTGACAGAGAATCGAAAGAAGATCCACATAATGTCCCAATGAAGAATATTAATATATACCAAACTGAATTTTTTAACATCTCATTGAATTTAGATTATATACATGCATAAGGTTCCATTTTCTCATTCCTGCAATATACAGACATTTCAAAGACTGACAGAATGCCCATTTCTTGAAACCATTCTTTAACATCTAAAATAAGACTTTATGTGTATTCCAGTTGTCTTCCCAATCTTTCCCTCCCCTTATAATAAGAAAAATAATTCTTACCAAAGAGTTGAGTACAATGAGAATCAGAGCAACTGCTGTCACTTTATTGAACTCATAAAGATCTTTCTTTCCCAGAACTGAGAAATATTGACTGGGAATCAGTCCCACCTGGTAAATAATCAGTTGAGCTAGGAAACATAGGAGAAACATTTTTAAAAGCATAAGCTCCAAAGGTATATTAGTAAAAAGAGAGAATAATCCTACATTATGGCAAAAAGAAACATACAAAAAGATTTGTTTTAGAAAATTGTTTACTTACTCAATAAAGCAACTACAAGCAAGGTTAGAAACATCAGCACATTCTTAGAGGTGAAGGTAGGAAATAAAATTGTTTGGATCTTTAGGAATCGGTGGAGGAACTGACGATCCAGCTGGGGCCTAGGAGAAAGATAAAAAGACAAGAAAAGTTATAAAGCTGAACTGTTAACATGGAAATGTCACTGCCAAACCCTCCATTCCACTCAGTACATATTTAAGCTGACTGAAATTTGGAAAAAAAATTCTCACTAGAACAACAATAGGAGGATCCCAGATATCTTGGCAAGTGTGAGGCCAAAGGGGCTAATGTCTAAATTATACTTTAACACTGGGCACAGAATATGTAAAATAGCTGCACTTTTGTTTCAGATGTACGTTATGTAGAACAGCTCTCCTCAACCCTTTCCGGTTCCGTGGAGAGAGGTTTTTCTGTGGACCAGAAGGGGTGTGGTTTCATGTGTTGCCTGCATCCCACGGATGGGGCTTTGCTTGTTTGCATGGCCCAGTTCCTGGCATGCTGTGGCTCGGTGCAGGTCCACGGATCGGAGGTTGGGGACCCCTGATATAGAACAGTATTTGCAAACCAAACAGCTTCCACAAAGACCAAATATTTGGCCAGCCTGGAGCAGGCCTCCAAATGTACAGATCACTTATAAATGTATCATACAGGGTGGACTGTTGGCAATTAATTCACTCCCCCCAACACTTGATATGGAAGAGGAGCTCTTCCATATGTACACATGCATTGAACCTTCCCACCTACATCAGCCAAACCTAGGCCCAGAAGGGCTCTCCTTCTGCTATACTTTAATCAAACACAGGTGGAGAACAATAGGCTGGGAGAAATCATAGCAGTGATGCATATAGGTAGGCCTTGACTTACCACCATTTGTTTAGTGACTGTTTGAAGTTACAACAACACTGAAAAAAGTGATTTATGACTGGTTTTCACATTTACGACTATTGCAGCATCACCATCCTTACGTGATCGAAGTTTGTGCACTTGGCAACTGGCATGTACTTATGACAGCTGTCATGTCTCAGGGTCATGTGATCAATCACCATTTGTAACATTCCCAACTAGCTTATGACGAGCAAAGTCAATGGGGGGAGTTAGATTTGCTTAATGGCCACACAATTCACCTAAGAACTGCAGTATTTCACTTAACAACAGTGGCAAAAAAAGGTTCTAAAATGGGACAAAACTCACTTAATTGCCTTGCTTAGCAATGGAAATTTTGTGCTCAATTGTGGTTATAAGTCGAGGACTACGTGTATTGGCCATGAGTACTTATGCCTTCCTTATTTGCTGCTTATCTTGCTGCAATTTGTTTTACATGGGGCTGCCCTTGAAGATTTGGAAAGTGTGCCTGGTGCAAAATGCAGCAGCCTTCATGTTGACCCAGAATGCAGAGTTTTGAATAGAGTTTTTGAAATCACAAGAATTTCAGTGATTTCAAAGGTTCAGTGGAAAACAAATGTGGGAAAAGTCCACTCAAACACAATTTTCTATCGCTAGAGTTTTGCCTGTTGATTTGGTTATTTTTTTCTGCAGCCTGAAAAAACAAAACAAAAAAACAACGACAGTTTGTAGTAGAATAACACCAATTTTCTGGTATTACTGTATTGCCTGCCAGTGGACTTCCAAATCCACTTCATGGAGTTGGTTATTGCTTATCAAGGTCTTAATGGCTTGGGTCCTTGTTGTGCTCCAGGCAGAATTTCCTCATTCCGGACAGAAAGGCACTCTGTGTGGATCTTTCTCCCTCCCCCACCCAATTTTGGAATATTATGAAAGTGGAAACTGGAAACAGGCATTCTCAGTCATAGCTCTTGGCTTCTGGAATAGCTTGCCTCTCTGCAGGTCAGATTGACCCTTTCCGGTGATTACTCACTCTGGAACAACAACTCATGAATGAAAGCTGGTTGTCCAGGCCTGAGATGATGGTTCTAATCTGTATTATATTCATCTGATGGTGATGCTGTCTGTCCCACATTGTTCTACCTTACCAAGAAGTAAGCTGTGCTGTACTTGTTCAAATGCCTTGGTTTAGTCCAAGCAAACCATATCAACAGCGTTTCCCTGATCCACTCGTTTACTCACTTTATCAAAGAAGGCAGCGTAAAATTGCCAAGTTTGAAAAACACTGAATTATATGAATAGGCAGCATGTACAAAGTTATACACTCACCTATCACGACATCCCCTTTTGAAGCATGTAGCGTTTTATGAAACTCAGAAAAAAAGTAGAGTTTTCTTAAGGCTAACCTTAACCCTACTGTTTTCTTTGCTTTTTCTGAACTGTAGTGTCTAGTATTAAAATCCACCATTGCTTTTTACCCCACCCCACCCCGTCTCCGTTCATAAGGAGTTCCAGCACCGTGGCTCCCTTTTCCGGACTCGATTGTGGACTATTTAAAGCACTTACCGGATAGTTTTCTTAGCTGTTTTCCCTGGAGCCATGAACGAAATGCCCTTCCTTGCAAAAAAATAAATAAAAATAAAATAAAGGCTTCCTAGAGTCCACTCCGGATCGCGCTAGAGGAAGACTTGTAAGTTTCCCGTCCCTTCAAGGCTTCGAGTCTAGTCCCACCCCATTCAGGGATTTTAATGAGTACTCATTATTCCTTTGGATTATGCATTAGCAAGTCAGAAATAGCGATTATAGGGGTGTCATCCCTGAAAAAACGAGTTGTGAGCAAGCGGTTACTAAAAGCTGCAGAAAAAGACGGCCGAGATGGCCAAATATCCATATCCGAGTTATTTTAGTGGGATTAACCAAAGAACTGCACAGTACAGCATTCTACCGATGCAGCTCTCATTTTCTGTCTGTATCGCCAAGAGTCATGGTTTACGACCGTCTTCTTGGATTTAATATATACTTCCGGTCCCGGATTCCAGTTCAAGTCCTTCGAGGGTTGAAGAGTGGCGGAAATGCTTCAGTTTAGCATTGCTTGAATGACGAAATACATGCCCTGGAGTGTAGTCTTACAAAAACCGATGTATAAACACAAATGCTTTAGTTTTTACTTACTTACTTTCTTTCTTTACTGCAATAGATTAGCAGTTGCTTACTTCCCTTGAAAATTTGCGTTAGGAAAAACCAGAACCGGGTTTCCAAAACAAATGTTCATTCATGAACAAAGAAGCAAACCTTAGTTTCTTCGCTTTTGACTTCGTGATTTTCTTCTCCTTTTCCGCACGAAGAGATTATGAAAAAACGTCCCCAAATATCCTTAACTCCACTAACCCAAATCAACGAAGAACAACATTTCTGCAGCAGCGCCTTTTGGCAGGGGGGGAGGGGGATAAATACCAAACTACTAAAGAAGACCTGATTTTTTTTCAATAAGTTAGAAATGACAGTTAGAAAAGATACAAATAGAAAACTTTTATGTGTTCTTTCACCACGTTTTATGCATTTCTCTCTCTCTTGCCCCTCAAATGGAAGCTGTTTCCCCCTCCTAAAGGGAACCGGAAATTGGGCTCCTGCAAATCTTATATAGATCTGTTTTGAGAGAGAAGGTAGCTAGGGCTCCTTCTACCGGACTAATTGTGTAAGGACAATTGTGTAAAATGCAGAGTCAAAGATCCAGATTTTTTCATTTATTTTGCATACGTTTAACAGTGTCACGTTTTCTTACATAACAATTTAATCATTTTGTTGAATAAGATTAAAGCCCCGTTCTATGGCTTTTAGTGGCCGGTTAGATTCGTGGACAGGAGGGCAACGCTCGCTTCCATAGGTATAACATCATGATACAGTCAAATGAGTGGAAGTTAAATAGCTTTAATTTATACCTATGACAACCCTTCAGTCTGTTGACTTATTAGTTTATTAATAGAGAGTTTTTTTGTACTCTATGAATTAACGTTAGCCAAAGTTATAAATTGTGCCTTTACCTGATAGAAGTGACACTTCTTTAAGGGGAGGGGAGGGGAGGGGAGAAGCTAGAATGGTTGCCTACAAACACTCCACAGGCTGACCACAAACATTTCTTATATAGCCTAGCTAACAGGTCATGATATTTAGCTTAAGCAGTAGTTAGGGATTTCCGGACAAGGGTCTTAGAGGTGTAGGAAGAAATATCCTTCTGGGTTCAGCTCCAAGTGGGGAAAAAGACACTGGAAACATGGAGATTGCTTGGAAAGATGGTTTAATGGTGGACAGGATCACATGGTTTGAGTTCCTGAACAGAAAAAGGCAGATACAGCGAGTCCCCAGGTTTTATGCTTTCTCTGGCTTTGAACTTCCTGGGGTCCCGAAAGAGTATCCTGATTGGTTGCCAGACTCCCAGGGGGTAGGGGTTTTAGCTAGCCTTGCTGGCTGATGTAATCTTCCCAGGTCACATGTGGTGAGTTTCGGTTGCTATTGTGTTGCAGATTATGGCCCATTAACAAAGGTGTGTGTGTGGGGGGGGGGGGAGGCAGGAAGCTGCTTGTCTTTTAAAACAAGCTTCTCCATTTCTCATCCAGGGAAATATAATATTCTGCCTTTTTAATATTTCCCAAAATATTTCATTCTTTCAGGAAAGGGGTGGGTGCTAACTTCCTACAGAGGTAAGCAAAGTTCATCATTAGCATAGAGAAAAACACATTCAGAGGCAACAACTTCTATGAAGCAACGTTAAATAATGAGATGTGCATGTGTAGCTATCATGTAACTTTGTAACTAATTAGCAATTCTCTCTTATTTCCTGTAATAAATTGTATAAAGATAACTGCATCTGATTCTGGTGCTCTCCTTGAGTATAAAAGCCAGAGGCATCCTCTTCTGTACAGAAATAAAAGAGTTTTGTCTTTCTTTGATTCTGTGTAGACATTGGTTCTTCACACTGGGTTCCTGTACTTAGCCAGCTTTCTGGCCAACAATAGCAGCTGCTGTTGAAGCCATTTAAACCAGTGACCCTAGAGGTAGTCAGTGCTATAGAAACCATTCTGAAATAAAATGGGCTGGAATCACACTATAATATTTCATATTAGAAGAGCACAATTTTCCAGGAATCACTAACCTTATTTACAACCTTTCTAATATTGTGCCTTCACTAACCTTCCAATAGATAAGAATCACATGGAACAAGTTACAAAATCAGCCTTACAGCCAGCCAAATCAAATAACTAACAAGTTATATAGAACTAGAAGGTCCCACAAGATTAAAAACTTTTGTGGAAATTCTGTCCCATTATTTGCTTCAGACAAAAATCTGTTTCAGAAATGGGCCTGAATCAAAAAATGTCATGAATCACATGGAAGAAAAGAACTGGAAAGCCTTAAAACACATTCTCCATAGGAACCATTTATTTATTAAATTTATTGGCCCCCATATTATCATAGGGTAACTTACAATATTAAAAAGATAAAACTATATAAATAAACTACTGTACTACAAAAATACAATACACAACCCTAGCTAAAAGATGGAGAGGCAGGGAGTAGGATAAGCATGGGGGAGGTAGGATCTGTTATTCTATTGTAGGAGATTAGCACCCACCCCTTTCCTAGAAGATTGAAATATTTTGGGAAATATTTAAAAGGCAGAATATTATATTTCCCTGGATGAGAAATGGAGAAGCATATTTTACAGACAAAGCACCTCCCACCTTCCTACCCCCCTTCCTTTGTTAATGGGCCAGAGGCAGAAACCCAATCCTTTGTCAAAGGACATTTGCAACACAATAGCAACAGAAACTAACACAATGGGCCCCATCTAGCAACCGAAACTCACCACACATGACCTAGGAAGCATGTGACCTGGGAAGCACATGTGACCATCAGCCAGCAAGGCTAGATAAGACCCCCACCCCCTGGGAGTCTGACAACCAATCAGGATACTCTTTTGGGGCCCCAAGAAATGCAAAGCCAGAGAGAGCATAAAACCCGAAAACTCGCTGTATCTGCCCTTTTCTGTTCAGGAACTCAAGGCATGTGATCCTGTCCACCATTAAACCATCTTTCCAAACAGTCTCCATGTTTCCAGTGTCTTTTTCCCCACGTGGAGCAGAACCCAGAAGGATATTTCTTCCAACACTATCAGCCACCCCCAATGTGAGGCTCCCCCTTTGGCGCTCTAAACCAACTGGCAGATCTGAGTTTTTAAGCTCTTCCGGAAGGTCAGGAGGGTTGAAGCCAACCTCACTCCAGGGGGGACAACAGCAGAGAGGATTCCTCTCCTGGACTCCATCATCCGGAAGATTCAGGCTGATGGGGCCTGCAGCATGTTTCCTCTGCATGGGTGGGATGTGCCAATCCCAATGGGATGAGAAGGTCCCCTCAGGTAGCCTAGACCCATGCCATAAAGGGCTTTAAAGGTGATTACCAAGACCTTGAATTGCACCCAGAAGCAAACTGGAAACTAGTGCAGCTCACAGAACAGTGATGTTACATGGGCCTCAAAAACTGCCTGCGCTGCTGTTCTCTGCACCAGTTGTAGCTTCCAAATGCTCTTCAAGGGTAGTCCCATGTAGTGCCTGTTGCAATAGTCCAAGTGTGAGATGACTTGGACTTGAATGACTGAGCCCAGGGACTCCTAATCCCAGAGAGGCCGCAACTGATGCACAACCTGAAGTTGTGCAAAGGCTCTCCTAGCTGTGACTGCCACTTGCTCTTTGATATCCTGGAACAGTATCCCTCCAAAGACTTAAAAAGCCATAACCCTCCTTTCTTTAAAACATGCTTTGAAGGCTTTTTTTATTTACAGTAACATGTGAGCTCCCTCAATGAAAGATTTTTCAGATTTATAACGGACGATTGTTCCAATGGGATGACCATCTTCCTCTTCTGTCCTGTTTGATGTTTTGTATTTTTGTTTTTAATTTTGCTTCAGAAATGTGAATTATGAATGAATGAATCAATGAATGAATCAGTCAATCAATGAATAAATGCTATTATCTTATTTAGTAGAATTAGATTCTAAGGGTAAATTTTACACACTGCACAAATACTATTTTGTTCTTGCTATCCTTTAGGAGTATGGTTCTCAATTGATAACACAACCTGAAATACTTTACCTTTGATCTTATCGGATAAGGATCATTTCACAAGGAGAACAATAGTACCATTAAAGAAAAATGTCTGCTTTATTTACTCTGTGTAGCCTGTGGAGTATTTTGAAGAGAAAAAGACTGTATAACAAACTACTACTTACATATCATTTTTACTTTACTGTCTAAGCCCCCAGCCTTTTCTGCCCCACTACCTCTTTTAGTGTTTAGAAGTAAATTATCCAAGTGGCTCTAGTGTAACAGCACTAGTGTTATATCAAAACAAAAACATGGTCTGCTATATTCTCTGAGAATTGTGCTTTGTATTTAGTAACTGGCACATTAGGAGTCCATGGCATACTGATAAACACCTACTAAAAGTATTCAGTTGAAAGTAAATTCCCAGCAATATGCAGGATTGAATGACTTCCTTGCCTCTTGGCAAGTTTTCCTCTGCTGTTCCCACCCTATCCCTGCTTCTTTTGACACAGCTATGCCAATGAACACTTCTAATGTTTTCTAATGCAGAGCTGCATATTCCGTTTGGGCTAGATGCTGTACCGGCTCACACAAACAAAGAAAGATTTTTCCTGCTGGGGGAAGTTGACATATCTCTTATTTATTCCAGCAAACAATCTAAGAATATGATTGATAAACACTCTCCATCCATTTAGACTCTAAAGCTGCATTAGCACTTCTAAAGCAAGAGGTGTGAAAGATTATACTTCAGAGTTACAAAAAGTGCAGCCTACCAGCATCATTTCTATGATCACCAGAATGGAACAATTTTTGTTTGTTTGTTTTTGGCTTGGTTTAAACTTTGTTTTGAGTTGTGGAGGCAATTGAGCGTCTAAAACTGGGTTCTGCCTCAGATACTTTTAAAGTATGGCTGCCAATATAACATGAAAAACCTTCAGCACATCCAAATAAATGTAAGTTGCTCATGCCTGTTCTTGTAAATAATACCTAGCACACTTTAAACAAACTAGACTTATTTGTCTTGATCTGAATTGCAGATGATCTAAAACACTGCGGCTAGACCAAATACCTAACCCTTATAGCCCTACAAAATTCCTGTAGTCATTAAATTTTACCTCAAATTTGCTTATGTTTTAAGCTGCCGTTCCCTATTTTAAGTTGCAAGAGAAAAAAGTCAGGTTAGGTGCAGATTGTTATGGACAATATCCATTTTTAAGTGGTCACTAAGAGGTGACAATAACTTGATAAAAACTATTCAGGAAAGACAAGTATCCACATTTAGTGTTTAATTATTCTTCAATAATTTCCCTAAAATTGATTTATATAATTAACACTTTTATTTATTTATAACATTTCATGCTTCCCACAAAAAGATTCAAAATAATTTAATTTCTTCACTCGTGTCTTA